GTGACAAACCACAGCGAAAGACGCGCCCTGGGCCGCGCCGGCCCTGGGTCCGCCCCAGGCAGCCGCAGCGCCAGGGGCGTCGCGAGGCAGCGGCCTCGGCGGCTGCTGCCTGCTGCGGCGCCTAGACGCCTCCGACAGCATGACGGGCCCGAAGCTGCCGCGCACCCGGTGCCCGTGCGTCGCCGCCGCCTGCGGCCCTGCGCGCTGGATATGTCCTGTGACTTTCCAGCGGCGGGCCGCGCGCGCGAACCTGCGCGGGCGCCCGTGCGAGAGGCCCGCCTCGGCGACCCTCTTGCGCGCCGCGTCGCGCCAGCCTGCGGCCCGAGCCCTCGTCGACGCCGAGGCGGGGCGCCTGCTGCGCTGCCTTCACCACGATGCCGCGCGCCCGCAGCGCCCCCTCGCGACGCACTGCGCGCCCGAGCGGCGCGCGCAGGCGACGACGCTCTCGGGGGCAATGCCGAGGTGTAGCCGCCGGAACTCGCGAACTGTAGCGATGGCGGCCTTGACCAGCGTCGCGCGCACATGACTCCTGGACCCCGATGCCCTCTCCGAGAGGTCGTCGACACAGATCCGAAGCACCATGGAAGGATGTGTCTCCATGAGCTTCTGACGCACGAACGCGGCGAGGCACTCGGCGAAACGAGTGCCGCCCCGCGAGCCTTGAAAAATCGACTTGTGGGTCTGGAACGGCATGGGGCATGATCCCAGCTGCAAGAATATGCGAGGGGCCAAGAACATCTGCATCTCCAGAGAAAGAACGGACGGCGGGAAACCCTTCTTGAGGGCGCACGCGGCCAAGGCAGACATGCGCATGCCGTCGTAGAAGGCCTCCACGCCGAGAAGCGTCTGCCCATGAGGCAAGCGCAGCGTCGACCGCACCTCGTCCTCGAGGACCCTGGTGAAAGCTTCGCCGAGGGCAACGTTCCCCGCGACCGCGGCGTCCCAGAAATCGCCTTTGTCGGTGACCCAGCTGCGGGCATGCTCCTTCCGCGCGGGGGACCACGCACAACGCAGCATCGGCAGGAGGCCGATGCACCTGTCACCCCCCGGCTTCTTGCCGAGGAGACGCCCCAAGACGCGCGCCACCTGCCACGGCCAAGTGAGGCCCTCCTCGACCATCTGGAAAAGGTCGCACAGCTCCCGGGTGCCTTCATCGGGGAGAGGATGTGGGACCACGCGGTGGCTGCCTCCTCGGCCCACTTGTAGAATGTGGTGCGCACCCACGGGGCCGTTACCTCGCGCTCCTCCTCGAGCCGCATCCGCACGACGTCGTGTACGAGATCGGTGAAAGTGGGCGGCATCTCGCGCGCAACGTTATCTTCGCGCCCCTGCGCGCCCAGCGCCTCGTCCTGGACGACGTAGCTGTGCTGCTTCTCGTGGTTCGCTCGGGACTTGGCGTTCAGCGTCTCCTCCTGGTCTGCGTAGCTCTGCTGCTTCAGGGTCGTGGCGCCCTCGATGCCCAGTGTCTCGTTCAGGCCGTCGTAAGTTCGCTGCTTCTCGTGCGTTGCGTGGTCCTTGGTGCTCAGCGCCTCCTCCTGGTCTGTGACGCCCTGCTGCTGCAGGGTGGTGTCCTTGGTGCCTAGCGTCGTGTCCTGGTCGTCGCGGTTATGCTGCTTCTCTGTCCTGGTGTTCAGCGTCTCCTCCTGGTCGTCGTAGTTCCGCTGCTTCTCGTGCGTCGTGTGGTCCATGGTGCTCGGCGCCTCCTCCTGGTCCGCGTAACTCTGCTGCTGCTCCAGGATCGCGGTGTCCTTGGTGCCCAGCTTCGCTCCCTCTCGTGCGTCGCTTGGTCCGTGGTGCCCAGCGTCTCCTCCTAGTCTGCGAACCTCTGCTGCTCCTCCAGGGTCGCGGTGAACTTGATGCCCTGCGTCGTGTCCTGGTCGTCGTAGCTCTGCTGCTTTTCGCGCGTCGCGTGGTCCTTGGTGCACGGCGACTCCGCCTGGTACGTAGCTCTGCTGTTCCTGGATCGTGGTGTCCTGGGTGCCCGGCGTCGCGTGGTCGTCGTACTTCGGTTGCTCGTGCGTCTCGTGGTCCTTGGCGCCCGGAATCTCCTCCTGGTCCACGCAGTGTTGCGGTTTCTCGTGCTTCGTTCTGTCCTTGGTGCCCAGCTTCGCGTTCTGTCTGTGAGGTTCACCTGCTCGGTCGCCGTGTATGTGTGCCCTTCGTAGTCCTTCTCCACCTCGTGCGCCACGAAGGCGAGGTAGTTCAGCTGAGTCTGTTGGGCGCAGAGTCTTCTGCGTTTGGCGCGTCTCTGTGAGCTTGAAATCGTTGCAGGGTGCCTCTGCGGTCCAGTGGGCACATGCTGCGCGGCAATGAGGTCGCTGACATGCCGTGAGGCCGTCCATGCCGTCGCTGCCATGCGGGCCTCCTTCCAGTTACTCTCTACACATGCTGTGTAGTGGCTGGGTGGCTGTGCTGGCTGCCCTGACAAACTCTTAAGCCCAGATGGCAGCTGGAGGAGGAGGAGCAGGAGGAATCCCAGTACCTGATTTCCCCCAAAAATGTGAATTCGGGAGCTAAGGTTTTTGATTTGCAAAACTCAATTCTTTGCTAAATCATTTTCAACGGCGCATGTGTCGGATGAGTCCACGGCGGCTCATTGGCATTTTTTGTTATATAAAAAAGCTGGATAAAAAAAGTTCGGGCTGAGCGCGCGAGGAGGAGGATGAGGAAGAGGCTTCCTGAAGAAATCAATAGGATTCCTTCGGAAACCCATTCGTTTTTATAGGACAAAGCCTCACAGGATTCCTGCGGAAATCCATGTGAATTTCTTTCGGAATGCATAAATTCTGTAGGAAACCCATCGGATTCCGTAGGAGTTTCCATCGGACATTCCATGGAATTCCTTTGGCAATCCATGGGAAATTCATGGGCTTCCTTCTGACATCCATAGGATTCCATCGGAAATCCATCGGGATCTATAGGAAACCCATAGGGTCCCCGAGGACATCCACAAGATCCCTGAGGAAATCAGACGGAATCCTTAGGAGTCGATGCCACTCAACATAAAAGAAGAGCAACTTCGATTCGCAACTTCCCCTGGACCAGAACACAAACGACCCCACCCCACTTGCGGCCCCACGGGCCTTAGCGTATACCTGGACATCTGGCGTGGGTTTTTGCATGCTATACGCTACGGCCCCGACGCGCCGTAGCGCAACATGGAGGGCCGTAGGTGTGGTGGCGTCGTATGCTTTGGGCCGATTCCCACGCGATAAAGAAAGTTCGGCCTTGCCGCCTCTCTTCCCTGACCAAAACTGTATTGGCCGTGGAAAATCAACACTCAATACGAAACGGGGGGGTAGAATTGATTATCTGGAGGTGGGGGTTACTGCTCCTCCTCTGCCCCATTCCCGTCCTCGGATACCGAACGCCAGCGAAGCAAACCCCAGCGAAGCGAGACTCCGGCGATGCGAGCCCCAGCGGAGCGAGCCTCCGGCGAAGCGAGCCTCTGGCGAAGCGAGCCCTGGCGAAGCGAGCTCTGGCGAAGCAAGCCGAGCGAAACAGGCCCCGGCGAGGCGAGCCCATGGCGAGTCAAACCCCAGCGAAGCGAGCCCGGGCAGGGCCCAGGGCCCATGGGAAGATTGCGGGGGGGGGGCAGGAGGAGGAGGAGGAGGAGGAGGAGGAGGAGGAGGAGGAGGAGGAAGAAGAAGAAGAGGAGGCGAGGAGGAGGAGGAGGAGGAGGAGGAGGAGGAGGAGGAGTGAGGAGGAGGGTTTGTGAGGAGTGTAGGAGGAGGAGGAGGAGGAGGAGGTAGGAGGGGAGGAGCGAGTGAGGAGGAGAAGGAGGAGGAGGAGGAGGGCGGCAGGAGTGGGAGGAGGAGGAGGAGGGGGAGGAGGAGAGGAAGGAGGTGGAGGAGGAGGAGGAGGAGGAGGAGGAGGAGGAGGAGGGGAGGAGGAGGAGGAGGAGGCGGGGCGGGCAGCACTGGGGCAGCTGTCGACGCCGTGATCTTCTGCTCCACGCGCGGGCCCTGGAGCTTCCGGCCCCTGACGGCAGGCCCGTGCGGCGCCGATTTTTCGGCGATGGCTTCTGACGCCGCGGGGATCGTTCAGCCTCCTCCCTCCTCCTCCTCCTCCTCCTCCTCTCCTTCTCCTCGCTCCTCCCTCCTCCTATTCCTCCTCCTTCTTAATCCCCTTCCTCTTTTCCTTTTTTCCTCCTTCCTCTCCTCCTCTTCCTCCTCCTCCTCCTCCTCCTCCTCCTCCTCTTGAACGATCGGACGCTTCCGAAACGTCAGGTCGTTCAACATCGACCGATTCTGGGTCGCTGGCGGCGTTCAGCGTTGAACGCCAGCAGCAGGGTCGCCGCCGGTCGACACGACGCGAACCTACTGTACCCAGGGCCGGCATTCCGACTCGAGCCGTGTTCTCGTTGTCCTGATGCCCAGAGGCGGCCAAGACCTCCACCACAGTTTTTCCAAGACGCAGGAGGTCTGGGACACTGGCAGAGTGGGAGGTATGAGGGGAGAGGGGCGGAGGAGGTAGTCAGTATGACGGAGGTATGTGAGGGAGGAGTGTGAGGGAGGAGGAGGAGGAGGAGGAGGAGGAGGAGGAGGAGGAGGAGGAGGAGGAGGAGGAGAAGAAGGAGGTAGGAGGAGTTTGGAGGGGAGGAGGAGATGGATGAGGAGGTGGAGTGAGGAGGAGGAGGGGAGGAGTGAGGAGGGCGTAGTTTGAGGGGGAAGAAGGGTGGAAGAGGAGCAGGATGAGGAAGAGGAGCTGATGAGGAGGACGAGGGAGAAAGAGAGCGAGAGAGAGGAGGGAAGAAGGGTGAGGGAGAAAGAAGGAGAGAGGGAGAACTAGAGAGAGGCCTGAGAAGGTCCAGAGGAAGAGGAGGGGGAGAAGGAGGAGAGGAGGAGGAGGAGGAGGAGGAGGAGGAGGAGGAGGAGGAGGAGGAGGAGGAGAATAGAGCGCGGCAGCTACTCAGTTTAAGTCCGATCAGCGTCAAAAAAAAGAGGAGGAGCCCATTGAGGTCCGATCGTTGCCTTCCTGGCGCCCCCCCCGCGGGGCGCCCGCGTGGGTCTTGGGCGCAACAGACCGGGTCCCGCTCAGGTCCAGCTTCTTGGACATCTGCCGGCTGAACCTCTGCGGGCAGGCGCGAGCCGGGGGGGAGCCCACTCTGAGGGCGGAGGGGGCCCACACGTGCTCGAGTCATGCGAAAATCTCGACGGCAAGTCTTTGGCCTCTGTCGGCCGCCCAGGGCCCTCGCCGGGCCCCGGGACCGTCAAAAGAAGACTCACGATAGGATCGGGAATTCTGGGGGGGGGGCCCTATTGAAAAATGAAAGCGTCGCACGTCTGAAGTGAAGCCTCTCACCCTCTTCCCCTCCTCCTCTCGTTCAGATTCCCATCCTCTGGCCTCCGCCATCCTCCTTCCGCCTCCATCCTCCTTTGTTTCCTTCTCCTTATCGTCCTCCTTCTCCTCCTCCTCCTCCTCCTCCTCCTTCATTTCCTCACCCTCTTCCTCCTTTCTCTCTCGTCCTCCCCCATTTTTCTCACCTCTCCTCCTCTGCCTCCTCCTTCAGTTTTGTAAGTGACAGGCCCACTTCTCCCACCTCCTCTGCCGCTCCTTCATCATCTTCTTCCCTCTTCTCACGACTTCTTCATCATCTTCATCAACATCTCATCATCATCAGCTATCATCATCGTTCTTCTTCATTCATCATCATTCATCATCATCTATCCAGCAGCCAGCAGCTAGCAGCAGCAGCAGCAGTCATCAGCATCACATCATCATCTCTTCATCATCATCATCATCATCATCATCATCATCATCATCATCATCATCATCATCATCATCATCATCATCATCATCCGCCTCCTCCTCCTCCTCATCCCCCTGCTCTGTTCCCGCATACATCCCTTTTCATCCTCCTCATCCAAGCCTCCTTCTCCTCCTCCTCCTTCTCCTCCTCCTCCTCTTCCTCATCCTCTTCCTTCTCCTCCTACTCCTCCACCCTTTCATTCTTATGAACAAGAGGCACGCGTGCCAAGGATCATACAATCAGGGATTCGGGACACTAGGCGATGGCGATGACGCCAAGCTCTGGTCATTTTAAAGAAGCGTGCGAGTGCTGCGATAGGCAGGCGAGTGACCATAACGAGAAAGCTGCAAATTGTAGCACGGATGTGTGAATGCAGCGTACGGTTTCGATCTGAAGGCGATCTCATTATGACGGGAGAGGTTTGCTGCGAGGTGTCGATGGCGTGTTTTCAAGTGCCGACCCTGGTATGGAGCGAAGCGCTTGGTCACTCTGCGCGTTTCGGGGCCTTTGCTGTTTGGCGTCCCTG